AAGCAACTCCCTAAGTGCTTGACTTGTGTAACAAAAACAGCAATGACAACATGAGAGAATCTTTCTGATGACTCAAGTCCCAGACTAGAGCCAATTTAAACCCAGGACCCACTTAATAAAAGGACACACGATCTCAAGTCTTTATGTACAGCTTCCTACTATAATGTTCAGTTCAAAGGGACCTGAACGATACACTACTAATGCATTAGAGAAGGGGAAAGGCCTTGTGGGGATGAGGTGCTAGATGGATTTTTGACCTAAGCCCCCCTCACACTATGACTACTGTGCCTTTGAACACATCAGAGGTTATTTTCATATTTTTTCTTAATGAGTAATTGCCATGAATATAAGAACAGCAGCTGTCAGAAATTTTATTGCTTGACATATGGAATAATGCTTTATTTGGCAGAAGGACCAAATAAATTCTAGAATTTGAAAAAAATTGTAGATTCATGTTGCCATCAATGATCCAAACATTGTAAGGAAAATCATTTTTATCACATCTCCACGCAATTTAAGCCAATGTAAAAAATGAATGGGATGTGGAAGACAGCAGAAAAATTAAAATGAAGTGACGGCTTCAGTCGGAGTTGCTATTCCAGATGAGGTCTTTTCATTGGAGTATATTAGTAAAAATCCTGGTCCTCAGCATGCATCTATCCATCTGAAAAATGCAATTTTCTTAATCCTGATTGATAGAAAACTCCAGAAGCAGTTTGCAAGTACTTGACAAAAACAGCAGAGCTCTTCGACCATCCTGCATATTCCCGCCTGCTCTATGACAACCCACAGAGACAATAAACACCTCACTGTCACACAAGACATTAAACTCTTCTATATCGTAGTATTTTGCTGACTTGATAGTGAAGAGCAGGAATAGTAGACAGACTAGATGCTTTCATAAAACACATGTGTTCTGGAGAGTGGAAGATGAATGTCCCGAGGATCCAGAAGGGGGCTTTGGAAACTAAATGAAGTTTCTGGGCCCAGCAGTAGGAGCTACGTAGGAACACGGCCTTCTCGGGAAAGGACAAAGTGAACATCTTCCTGGCTTGCGACCGCTGTTCAACGGAGGCTGAATCTCCATCTTGGGATACTAGTGACCATGAAACTTTAGTTGTTTTTCGTAAACTGAATGCCACATGACCAATTTGGCCATATTTTTAGTTGTATCCAGCAATACTCTTGTCATGGGGCAGAAGGGTCGCACAGGGGATTCGTTCAATTAGGCCGGAGACCCGGGTAAATTCAGTAAGTACCTCACGCCCTCCCTTCCCTGTCATACCTACTCTCACACTGTTCCTCTTTCATCTCAGCCTGTACACTTAGCGCATATCAAATCCCCCACGACTAGTTAACTACGGGGGGAGAGAAGCCAATATTCTTTCCATGTCATTCCACGCGGCACACCAACATTTGTTACTATGGCACTGAAGCCCTAGTTAGGCACATCCCTTTAAGGTGGTATAAAATGTAAACGCTCCCGATGAGAAAAACACTGAGCAAGACAATTCACATCCCTCTGCTCGAGGATGAAACATTTCCAGGTGCTCAGGGAATGAGAAAAGTGGAGACAAGGGAATTTCATTTTATACTGGAAAATAATATATTTAAAACTTGAAGATATTTATGTTGATTTATTTTAAATCCTGAGGGGTTGAACTTTATCACTGGCTTCTCCCTCCTTCTTGCTTTTCCTCTAAGTTCCAGGCAGCAAAACAGCCCATCACAAAAAATCACTTATTTCCCCAGCACTGCACCCGTATTCCCTCCATCTTAACCTGATTCGTTCTGTTGATTTAACCCTAGATTACAGGTGCATCTCCAAACCAGGAATTTATTAAGGAATATGCAGTTATTTTAGTTATACAGCCAGACATGGAGAACTCTAACTGCAGCTGAGATCTTTTCAAGGAAACTTTTTATCGCTTCTACCGTACTTTTTTATCCTGTCAGAGTAATCAGCGATAAACACACATCTCTAGGATTCTCTGAATTCAATATTGACAAGAGGTCCTCTAAACAAAGCGTGCTATTGAGTTTTGAAGGGCAAAACCCTAATCTTTATGTCTTTACCTTAATTCCTGGATGGCACGGCATCCTGGGGCCTCGTTATCTGACAGCTCGGAGAGCCAGGCATCCTGATGGCAACAGGGCCGAGGGCATTCTATCTGCCTAGGATGTTCTTTCTGCCAAACAAGGGCTAGATTCTACATCTAGATGGGGAATGTGCAGTTCCTTCCTCGGAGCATAATGCGGCATTCTACTAGGTAACAGAACTTCTTTTTTTTCCTCTCTTTTTCTTTCCGCCTCGTGTGCTTCAAACCTGATCTAACTACCCAGGGCTCTTTGAAGTCAAAGGAAGCTCTGAACCCCGGGAAACTCTGATGTCTGGGGCAGAGACTCTCAAGATAAATGAGACAAACAGAAAGGAATGTTAGGAGAAAAAGAGGGAGGTGCAGCACTTTGGGGATCTCGCACCACGTGGATGCCTTAGTGGTTGAGAGAATCTTGCACAAAAGTCAGCAAGTCACTGCTGGTAAAAAAAGAACAGAGGAAATATACAGCACAAAGGTGTTCATATGCTTGAACTCTATTTGGGCCAGGAAGTGCAAGTTTGTACATCAACGTAACAATTATTCTGTCTTGATGGGTCATGCCAACTTTGAGTCAGGTAATTAAGAGTCAAAAGGCATAAAACCTAACCTTGGACTTTTAGTTTGTTTTGGTTTTCTCACCCTAATAGGATATTATTAGAAAGATTAGTTTTGCTAAGATATTTGCCTTGAATGATCCCTAGCCCCAGGAATATTAACATTCAAAATTCTAGTGAATTGACCATATAATGATACAGAAATCAGTTAAAGTTAAATTGCTGCATACTAATCTTAAATGCTTCTACCCAACTACTCCTTAACTCTGTGGAATCTCTGCAATGCCTCAGGCAAAGTGAAAAAATGTAAAGGCTAAGATCAATACTTATAGCTAACAAACATAGGCTGTATTTTTTTTTCTATTGATCTATTGATGTCTGGAAAGAAAAAAAATCATAGATTATCATTTATTTTCATTCAGGGTATTTTATCAAGCCAGAATAGAATATCACAGTCATTAATTTATAACTAAAATATTAAATATTTATTAAATTTTTATTAAATTTTCTTTCAAATATTAAAGAGTGTTTAAATCCTTCTTAACACAGGCATGCTTCACACATACCAAACATAACTTACTCAAATGTGTTTACACAGCTGCAAAATCCCCACATTAACTATCGATCAGGAAAACTAAAAATATTGCTGTGAGAATGAGAATGTGAGATCTAAGCTGCTTGAAGGAAATTATTAAGGGCTTCCTGTGACATTAATTCAGATGGGATCAAGTTTGTTGTTGATTTTTTAAAAATTCTGCTTCAGCATCTCCCTACACACAACATAGTTTCAGAGAAGGCATTGACCAGCTCAACTATCTCCCCCACTACTGTCCCTAAATTTCAAAATGTCAAAGAGGAAAATAATTACCACACACACACAGACTTAATACTGTAACCTCAAGGTTATTTATACTCAATTTGAAGGCCTCCTTTTTTTCTATGGGAAATAGTCAATGTAAACCTAATGACCTGAGTTTTAGTGAATCTATTCTGTTTTAAAAATATATATTTTTATTGATTTCAGAGGGAGAGGAAGGGAAAGGGAGAGAGACAGAAACATCAATGATGAGAGAGTCATTGATCGGCTGCCCCCCCTGCAGACCCCCTGCCGGGGATCGAGCCCACAACCGGGATATGTGCCCTGACCCGGAATCGAACCCCGATCTCCTGGATTCAGGGTCAATGCTCAACCGCTGAGCCACACTGGCAGGGTGAGGTGAATCTATTCTTGATCACGCACAAATCACTCAGTCTTCATCTAACCAATGGAGGAAAATAAATGAGTGCAGTGCGTCCCAAACTTGGCGGAACAGTAGAACCCCCTGAGGAGCTTTCAGACATCCCCAGGTTGACCCCTGAAGGATTTCATCAGAATGCTCAGGCCTGGGAGCAGGCATCAGCAGTTTTAAAGACACTCCGGTGATTCCACTGTGCAGCAAGTTTGGGAGTTGCTTTTAAGCTAAAAAACGAGGGGCTTTTATATTACATAGTACTTTACAAAGTGATATAAACTATTATCCCCAAACTAAGTACAGCGCTGTAAAAAGATACAGTGTTTTAGGAAGTTTAATCTTCTGTTTGGATTTTAGTTCAGTAGTCATAAAGAAACTATAGATAAATAATCAGTTTTACTCTTTTTGCCAGAGCTGCAGAAAGTTTAATGTTTTTTATTTTTATTTTTATCTCATTAACATTATTTTAGCCTTTTTATTACCTCTTTTCCTTCTCTATTAAAATTAAGAAAAGTATCACCTATCTTTTTTCTTTCAAATATATAAAACATCACACTTTTACTATATGTTTATAATAAAGAGAAAAGAATATTAGAACTAATGTGCAGAAAAGAAATCTAAGGAGTCAGAAAGAAAATAACTTGTCCAAATTTACTTAATTCAACACTACTACTTATTTAAAACAAATAAAAAATTATGCACTCCAGATATTTTGTTCCAATATTCTGCTATAATGATCTATTTGGAAACGAAGACCTATTCAGCAAATCTTTCTTGACTAGAATTTGTTCATTGCCTGATGACAGAAATTATTTCTCTGCTAAATTTTTAATCAGTACATCAGATTCGGCCAGTTTATACACCACAGTACTTGTTTTGTATTAATACCATCAATTTGCACAAGTTTTTATTTAATTAGACTTACCAAAAGGATTATGTAATTTATGTAATTAGAGAACAAATAGCATGTTACCTAATTAAAAAGCACCCTCTGTGCTTGTTAATAGAGACAGTAATGCATCCATTCCCAATGAAATCCTCAAATTAAACTCAATTCATAAGCAACTACGAGTGTAATCCACCTCCCAATAGTTATTTGCCTTGGGATCTCTTACCTTTGCGGGCTTATTAGCATCCATGCTCTCTTTGAATTTCTCCTGAACAGTTTCTGCAAGTTGACAGAGCAAGGCGCCATTGTCCAATTTCTCCATAAACGTTTCTGCCGTTATCTCCTTCCCTGAAATAACAAAAAGAAGCATTAAAAAAAGCATAATAATTCCCCAATAGCAATGGGACATTCATGTCGGCATATTTGACACAGTTTTTACCATCGAAATTTCTACTCCGGCTGAGTTCTGCGTCTGGGATAGGAACTCACTGGAAAGAATTGTTTCTTTGGAATTTTATGTTTTCCTTTGGTAGCAAGAATCTCAATATTTTACATTTTAATAATACCATTTCAACTACATAAATGTTTTATTCCACATTACAAGTGACCAAATGATATTCTGGGTGAAAGAGTCCCACCATTTAGCAATCAAGCAATGAAACTCAACGAACCAGCTTCACCAGCTTGTACAGTCTGGCATCTGAGATTTATTCAGCTCTTATTCCCAGTGGCCCGGGCAATTACTTTGGCCTGCGAGGCAAGGGCATGAAGCAGAACTGGTATTTTGTGTTGCATATGTGTCCTTGATCATGAGAATGCCATCTCTCTCTTCTTTAACTTGAAACAGAGCCAACATGTATCAAAAATCAGACACTATTGGTGAGTTTAATAGCATGGCCAATGCATAAAGCCACATCTCTAAATTCCATCGAGTCTGTTTTCCTGATTGAGATAATACAGGTAAAATTAATGCCATTGATAAACTGCTCACAACTACTCGCCACTTCCTCTACTGCCCGTAGGAACATGATTCGCAACGGTCCATCTCTGACATTTAACTGGTTAACTGTTATTTTTCTTCATTCTCAGATGCAGCCAAAGCATATTTTCTTTCTTCTTTTTCTCTTTTATTTTCTAACAGCTTTATTGTGATATAATTCACGTACCTTACAATGCACTCATTTAAAATGTAAAATTCAATGGCTTTCAGGACACTGTATTCACAGAGTTGTGCAATCACCACCACAATGTTAGGGCATTTTTACAGCGTCCTAAAGAAACCCCGGACCTTTCACTGTCACTCCTGATTGCTCCCTTCCCCCAGCCCCTACAAAACCACTAACTTCTTTTCTTATATGCTCCCCCAAACTCATCTCCCCCAAAGCGCCCTCCTGTTCCTGGCTCTGTAATTCTCTAAGCTTCAGAATATTTTATTTCCCTGACTTAATTTCCTCTAACTTATTAGTGACAAACCCTGCAGATTCATGCTTCCTTCTGTTTCTTGTACCATAATCTTAATAAAAAACTTCCTGATCTGATACCTCAACCTCTAACAGCAAGAACAATGACCATTCCTTGTATCCTTAGTGTCTCTGTCCAACACAAACCAGTCATTGCGAAGCACCACTCTCACCAGGGCATTCTCCATCATTATGAATAGTCCCTAATCTCCCCCTCTCCCTAAAAGATGAAATATAACTACTTTAACCCAATATCCAGAGGTCTCCCCAACACCTCTAATTACCTGTCTAACCTGACATCTTATCCCCTGCCCCTTGGTCTGCACCCTGCCTCTCAGTCCCATTAGCAGGCCCTCCAGCTCCTGCCGTCAGGCCTCTCTCTGCTCCTGCAGGGCCCCTGACAGCGCTGCCCCACGCTCCACCTGCCTGGCCAAGTCCCAGGGCCCTCTCAGCAGAAATGCGGACCGAGCTCTCCCAGTGCACGCTGAGCGCTTTCCTCTACGGGCAGACTCATGGGTGTCACGCACCTTGGATTTATCAAACTTCTGGAGTTAGTAACATGTTTCGTATAAAGTTCTTGTCTTCCTCAATACTGTAAACCTCTTAATACTGTAAACCTCTTGAGGTGTGTGTGTGTGTGTGTGTGTGTGTGTGTGTGAGCATGTGCCTATGGAGGTAAGCATAATGTTATTCCCATGGTAGGCACCTAATAAATGTGTTCAGTGAGCACATGGATTAACAAATGAAGAAATAAACTACTGGAAAACTTGGAGAAAATGTTGGGCACTATTTTTGTGAAAAGTGGTTAGGTCAAAATAAAAGGAGGTATATTAAAGTCTTACACTGAGACCCTCATAGATAGATAACTTTTATCTTAAGAAAAATGCATGCGGCTCAAATCCATGAACACTTAAATATAACCCAAATGGAACGACAGATAAAATATTGGCTTAAAGTTAAACTCACAATACCTAATATATTTGGATTTCAAGAAACATCTGTTTGAAATGATTTTTTTTTTTCAGTTTTGGGGGAAGGGCAGGTAAAAAAGGAAAGAGAATTACTTTTTTTTTTTAATGTTCTTTTTTCCCTCCTGGATAGTTCACATTTCAGCCCCAGTTAGAATAATGACTTTTGCAGGTGGCAAAACATCAGTAGCTCTAAGTACTCACCACAGACATAGCCTATTCAGAACTGCTATTATTTCAAAATTGTATGCAGCTCAGCTCAATTCAGGAATGCAAGTAAGTCTCAAGATACAAAAAGCCAGTACAACCGAATTTGTATCACACATTCACCATATTGGCCAGCATTTTCTAACAATAAGAAAGTTATTTTGCAAACAAATATAAAAAATAATTATTAGAAATATTTTCAAAGTTACCAATTAAATTTTAAGGTAAATAAAGGTAAACTTTAAATTGTTGACCATATGCTAGTTTTAAGATTTTCTACATTTAGATGAGGTTTTCAGATATTCTTATTTCGTTAAGCTCCAAGGCACATTAAAGATTTTATTCAAAATGCTAAATGACAAGGTAATTATGATATTTAAAAGAACTTACAAATTATAAAAAGAAAATGTCATTCATTACAGAGTTATTATCAATTTACCAAAAGGTATGATTTTTACTTGTATGCATTATACCTGAAGATTTTTAGCTATCCTGATTTTCATGAATACTTGGAGAATTTACATTGAACATCTGTATCTAATGAAAAATATATTAGGTGTCAGCTTTCAATTCTGTATATTTTATAGCTCCAAAAGGTGAGATTTGTTTTTTTTTTTTTTTTTTTGGCTAAAACAGACACCGTTACATACTTTATAGTTGAAATGTGCTGCCTCAAATGAAGGAAAAATGCAAGACGGAGAAGTATTTTTAAAAACCTTCACATGTAATGTATTTTCCATCCAAAGATTAAGAATCATAAAATATACATTTAAAATGTACTAAATAATTGTAAGAAATGTTATAATTCTTGTATGGCATAATATATTATCTCATTCTTATTGCATGAATAGTACCAAAAGCATAAAAAAATCAGAATATAAAATTTGCTGGATCTAACTATGACAAACCCATTAGAAGAGGCTGTCATGAACTAGTTGCAATTTCTCATGCAAACATTATATGAAGCTAAATATCTTTGTCAGGGAGAAGCAGATATTTAACTTGTGTAGCTGGTTTGAGGCATTATAAACACTAGAGGCAGTAGGGATCTTGTACCATTTCTTCCCCAGCCCTATCTTTCCTTGTTGTTGGTATGTTTGGGAAAAGGTAGGGCAATGAATAGATCATTTAAATCTTCTAGGCATACTGGCCTGCACTGGGTTGTACAGACCACTGGCCTGGAGGTTAATCTGAAACAGCCTAGTCTAGAGGTGATGTCCTCACTTCATCAATTCAGTCATGACTGACTGCTTGCCAGCAGACAAAGATCAGGGAGTTTGGTTAATTTTGTGGTTGGTCACTTCCTATTAAAATGTTAGGGCTCGATGATATGAAATAACTGTATGTCAGGTAACTAAAATCAATATGCATGCTTGTACACGTGAGTGTATTCCTCCCAGAAATATGTACTTGCCATAATTCCCATAAAGATTAAGTATCAACCTACGGTGTTTTAAAATGGAGCCACTCTGGGGGGAAAAAAGCCCTTTTCTCTTATACTTTGCTGAAGAGGAATGTTTCCCTCCCAGTAAGTTAGTAGTACTAAATTTAGGTTCCCAAAGACATGATAGCATTTCATAATGATATCTAACCTTTGAGTTCTTGCTGTATGCCAGGCGCTTTACGTGTATTCATGTTTTTAATATTCTACAAAGCTGTGATGTGGGTGCTGCCATCACATCCATTTTACAGTTGGTGAAACTGAGGCGTTTAGATAAGTAACTTGCTGAAGGCCACCCGGTGAATCTGGCTCTTTAACCCATGGCGTCTAGGTTTAGAGTCTATGCTCTCAGTCACCATGCTTGACTACTTAAATATTTGCTGAATATATAAACAACTATTTCCTTACAATGCACTCTCCCTAACTCAGTTGTCTTTTTCTCTGTAGAAACTCCACAGAAAGCCCTTCGGGATAAAACAAACAAACAAAAACAGCTTCGGGCTGAAGACAGCGATGGCAGGGCTGAAAATGCGAATAGCAGTGTACCTTGGAAGTCGAGAATGGCTGAGAGTGACAGTCAGGCCTGTTCCGATATGTGGCCTGATTTACTGCAGAAGGAAACCGGCATATTTTATCTCTACAGGTGTCTGGATCTGATCAAACTCTACCTGAATCTCCACCACACCTCTCAACCCCAATACCTTTCTCTAACTGGGGAGCTCAAAGGAACTCATCTGCTATCCTAACTTGAGGTAGTCCGTGTTTTGAGACTGAAATTTGAAGGCTGTGAGGCAGAAAGTAATTCATTCTCCCCAGAAACCCAGGACCAGCACTTGTGCCACAGGGATCCCACCTCCCTAGCCTGCATTTACATCAAGACAAGACAAAGCTGGTTCTGTTGGAACGATGGGTGAAAAACAACTGCGCAGTAGCTTCTCGGAAAGGCGTCAACTTGTGAACATGAACTTGATTCTTTAAACTTTTGAGCTAGCAAAAGATACCACCTTCCCCAAGGAATTTTTATTGACTATATCAGGAACATAAGGACTCTGCTGGACAAGGGGCTGGTAAAAGAGCTTCGAGAAAAATGGAAAGTAAAGAAAGCTGTTCAAAACCTACTAGACAGCAGTTGTATTGGACAGAAGCAACTCCACTAAGTAGATGCTTAACTTTTTAATGATAGAAATAGGTTATTTTTATAAATACCTGGCAAAGTAACTGATAAGATAAAATTACCTATCAGTCATATTAAGCATATAATAATTCAATTTT